ACAGTCAGAGGATTACCTCCACAGAAGAGGAGATGTTGTTGGTTCATCAGCAACCTGAAGAACCAAATGTTCAAACATTTCTAATGTGTGATTAAGAATATTATATTCATTATATTATATGTATATCTATATAAATATAAATAAAACACATCTCCTAAACTTTGTTAATGAAGATAATATATCTTGTTTTTTTGAGTCCATTCAAAAAGTTGAACGTACACGATCAGGGGCCTCAGTTGAGGGGACTGATTTAAAAGAGGGAAGAAGTTTTGTTTCGCCTCCTGGCCGGAGACGACCAGGGGCCGGAGACATTTAGTTTTCAGGTTATTTGTCCGTCTGTCCCGTTATTCAAGTAAGTAGAATATGGAGGTCAAGGGTCGAGGTCGCTGAGACCTCACAAACACCTGTAGGGGATTTCTGCATATTTGGTGCAACTGTTGACTGTGTGTGTCAAACATGAACTGAAATTGTTGGTTGAAGGTCAAAGGTCGAGGTCATAGTGGCCTCTGTTTGACCTGTTGTCACCTGGACTCATTGAGATTGAATGAATCGATTCAATTCAGTGGTCAAACGTCAAAAAGATTAAAAAATCACATGCAGGACAGCACCTCTGGTTTCTGAATGTTGTTTTTGCAGCTGAAATAAGAAAACAAGGTCAAAGGGCCGTTGTCCTTCATGAGCTCCATTTGTTCGTTTGTTTCAAACAGTGAATTCTGCCTGAACTCGTCTTCAGGAAGGAGCTTGAACATGTGACCTGCTGCCGACGCTGTTTACTGAGCTGTCACGGAGAAGGAGGAAGTCTTCCTCCCACCTGAAGTTACTGCGACAGACACTGAAGTGTTTCCACTGTCGAGCGAAAAGAAAACATCTCTTCATGTCTGCACATTTCTGGACTTTACACTGAGGTGGTGCAGGGAGGTGAGTGTGTAAAGAAGCGTTCACTGTTTCAGCTGCTGAACTGACGAGGAACCTTTGTTTCTGCACAGCTGTGAAATGCAGTTTCACTTCTGTGGTCAGAAACATGTCAGAGTGACAAACCAAACTTTAAAGACTTAACAACCTCAGCGGAGCCGATAAAACTTGTGTATTCACTGTGAAAAGAGTTTAATTTCTTAATTACTTATATAAAACCTGAACCTGTAGAGTCACATTTAAATAAAGCTGTAGAATAAAAGCAGAAGTAGTAACAAAAAAACATTGTGTACTTGGACGGCGTGCATCTCATGATTACATGTTGACGTATTAATTCTTCATTCTGTGAACTGTGTAAAATGAAATGTAATTTAGGAACTGAAAGAGAATGTGACCTGCAGCTATTTGATTTAGATTAAAGATTATTCTTCTTTCTGCTGCTTTTCATTCAAGATGTTGTGTTTTTCGTTTAAAGGTCCAGTGTGTAGAATTTTCTGATATCTTGTGTTGAAGTGTCGTGTTGCAGCTGAACACCTCTCACCTCACCCTCTCCTTCCAAACATGAAAAAGAAACTGTGGAAACTTCAGTTGTCATAAAAACTCAAAAGGTGTTGAGTTTGTCCAGTCTGGAAAAATGGCGGCCTCCATAGAGAGGGTCCCCTCGATTTAAATATAAAGTATTTAAATATAAAGGGTCTTTTCTGGGGTAAAGAAAACTACATTTCATACAATTTAGATGAAATGAACTAAAGTGAAAACATCATGAGGATTATTCTACATTAGATTTCTACCAATAGTTCCCTCTCACCTAAATCTTACACACTGGAGCTTTAAGTTGTTTTGTTTGATAAAGGAAATAAAACATATATATTGGAAATTTGAAAATAAATAAAAATGTTCATGTCATCAAACAGAAACAGCTCATACCAGTTGTTTTTTCTCAGCCAACTGTAAAAACATATCTTAATAAACAGTAAACCAGACAATATAATTGGTATCGAAAGGCTAAAGTTGTGTTTTTGAGTCTTTCAAGATAAGAAAATCCTGAAGGTCTTAAAGAAAAGTAACTGTGGTGAACTGAGAGTTGTTTTTTTCCCTTTCTTGGAATTTATTTAATCATCACACAATCCCTCCCGATCCTGGAAACTATAAACGTGTTGTCATTCTCCTGCTGACTCACATCGTGACATGTGGAGCGAGCGTGAGCTTTTATTGGTCATTCAAAGGTTTGTTACAGATTCAGACTCGTATCAAAGGTGACAGAGCTCTGAAGGAAGGAGGACAAGAGTTTCCGTGGGTTCATAAAGTTATTCTGTTCTTTTCTGTTTCTTCTGATTGAGACTTTTTATCTGAACATCATGGACCCTCAAGGACACAGTGGCGAGATGACAGAGGGCCCTGATCTGACCGAAGGGCTGGAGAAGACGAGAACACTGAAGCACTTTCCTCCGTATGGATCCATTAACGGGACCTCGACAGGAGACACCTGCCCCACGTGTCGTGGAACTGGCCGAATCCCCAGAGGTTAGTTTTTTCTGTCGTTAGTACAAATCCATCTCTCACCACTTCCCATCATTACACAGCAGTTTCAGTTCACATTCAGTAATAGAAGAACCCGGTCGGAGAGACACAAACATGCGTGTGCGTGTGTGCACCAGAATCTGTTGTTTCACATCGTCCTGTGTTCACGTGTCGACAGGTCATGAAGATCAGCTCGTGGCCGTGATACCGTGTAACGACGTCAGGCTGCAGCCCAGACACACGTAAGGGATCCATGAACATGAGACCTAGAAAGTACATTCACTTTATTCCATCCTGTGCTTGTTCACTGTGTGGATCTCACACCTTTACAGATCATGACTATGTATAAAACATGATATTTATAATAGTACATTCTATTTAATCATATATATGTACTACTGGCTATGTTATATGATGGTAAATAACACAGTACTACAGTTTAAATTACCCTGCTGTGTATGAAATAGTTGAAAGTTGCTCCACTTTATTATTAATAATAATAATAATAATATAAATATAACAATAGTGAAATCACTATAATATTATGTACTCATATATACATACATATATCTTAAAAAATTTACTACATAGCTTGAAGTGTACTCTGGTCATATTGCTTTCCCTGATTTGAGTTTTCATGCGTGTTTGCAGGAGGCTGTACGTGTGCATCTCCATGTTCGTGTGCATCTTGGTCTGTTGTCTGATCCTCTTCTTCCTCTTCCCTCGGAGCGTCAGAGTGGCGCCCGTGTCCGTGCTGTCGGTCATGGTCTACTTCAGCCCCGACATGGTCGACATGGAGGTCACAGTAAGTGACGGGATACATGAAAATATGTGCCTCCTCAGGTTAGAGGACGTGGACGTGTCCACTGACATGGAGAAGATGGGATTTATGACCTATACTGCAACCAGCCACCAGGGGGGGTGATTGAGACACTTCGTTTTCTCCATCTTTATATTAAGTCTGTGGTTTGGACAAGATTTGTTTAACGCTCCAACAAGAGATGGAAATTATTTTGCAATTTCCAAAGATGTGTAACTTCTTCTTTTAAGGGAAAGAAAACTACTAAAGCAAAACACTGTGTAGCTTTTGCTGAGCATCAGCGCCCCCTGCAGCCACTTGTGTTGGGCAGAAGGTAAAGAGTTGAATCGTGTTGCTTTAAAACTATATTTAACAACACAATGACCTGTAAAATTATCCATAAAAACTTATTGCCAAGAAATACAGTTTTAATGCAGCAGTAAAAAGTGAGTGTTTTATAAACCAACAGCAGCAAATCAAAATCTACAACAAGTACAAGTGTAAAACTCTAAATATATACATTACATACAGTATATTATGCATGTTACACTCTCTGCCGCTGCGTTTTCTCCTCCAGAACCTCATCAACATCACCAACGAGAACTTCGTCCCGGTTCAGATCGTCGAGTTCAACATCCAGAGTCTGGTCACCGACATCGTGGTGGGCAAGACCAAGATATCCAACATAACCGCCATCCAGTCCCGGTCGCAGAAATCTGTGAGTCATCCACGAGGATTCACATCGAAATACAGAAGACGTGTCGACAAATATTCTGACGTCTCTGTCTCTGTCTTCTGCAGTACAACATTGAAATCCAACTTCCCATCCAGGACAAAGGCTTAATGTACGTTTGAAATAAAGCACATCACCGTTTCTAACTCAAAGCACTGAGACTGACCGGATGCTACGTGGTTATTGTTCGCACTTGTTCGACTGTTTTGTTTTGTTTCTTCCAGCAACTACTGCAAATCGAGCGCCTTCAAGATCCACACGCTGTTTCTGGAGATGCAGTAAGTGTCGATTCCCGATCTGAGACAAAGGCTCCAACACATTTCATCCTCACAGGATGTTGAAGGCGGAGCAGCAGAAGGAGTCATCCTCAAAAAAGTGGATTTCAATCATTTAAAACAAACTAACAAAAATATTTCGGCATCCGACCCATGATCTGTAAATAAAGATGGACGATGCAACAGCCCCCAAAAGTGAAGCCAATTCAATTTGACTGCCCCCTGGTGGCTGGCTGCAGTGTAGCTCATAAAGCCCACCTCCTCCGTGTTATTGTTATAAAAACAGTGATGAAGCTGAAACTGTCGTGATTAGTCGAGGGTGAGGAGCACCCTGGACCTTTGACCACCAAAGTCCTTCTTGAAATGTCCAGAAAAATAGAACAGCTGGACAACTTGAAAACGTAATGCCTCTGGCCACTAGGTGTCGCCAGCGTGGAGGGTGATATTTTCATCATGTTTTAAAGCTGCACTGAACCAGAATCTGTCTCCAGCTGCTTCTCATGTCGTTTCCCGATCTTTTCCTCCAGAATGACGCTGAACATTTCCTACCTCTCCCACACGGAGCAGCTGTCTCTCAACACGTTCGAGTACATCGACTGTGGCACCAACTCAACAATCCCACATCCTGTGAGTCGATGAAACCAACGTGAGAACAAAACGGACGCGTGAAGTCGTGAATATTCTGCCTGCGTCGCACCTTTATCTCCTTACATGAGATGTGAACGTGTGCTTATCTATGTAATCTGTATAATATTATTCTGTACGTTGTCGAAGCATAACAGCAACTTTGATCAATACAGAGTTCTGATTTTAAACTGTGAATTTGTTAAAATCCTTTGTGTCTTAGCACGAATGTTTTATTTGCTCTTATTTGTTGGAGATCTGCCTGTAAATGTATATTTCAGCCAAAAGAGACTCATAGAACGTTATGAAATGAGCCCAATCTCTTCCCAAATGAGAAAATTGTACATTTACATTTTAAACTAATTTATGTATATTGTGTAAAATTGAGCAAATTCCACCACTCTTATTTTTATAAACAGTGTTACACACATTGTGTAAATATGATTGTTGATAATCTTGTACTTTATTAAACTGCCTCATTTAACACTCTGTCTGTAAGACCCTTTTTTTTTTATATTTCCTTGCCAGAGGAGTTTCTGTTTATTTGAGATTTCACAACAGTGAAAGTTTGATTTCCTGGCAGAAGTTATGCTCATTTAGAATGTTCCTGTTTTAAATTATAAATAGACCTTTAAAAACGACTGTCAGCGTTTTGTGACTGTAAATCGTGTCACAGGTGTTTTCATTATTTCATCATATACATGAAGTAATAAAGACAATATGTGCATTTTATACACATTCATATATATATATAAATATAATCTTCATGAATTTGATATTTGAACATATATAATAAAACATTTTTTTTATTATTATCTAATAATTAAATCAGAACCATCAGCCTGCTGAAGCCACGGTGCGTGAATTCAGCTCCTTCCGGCTCCGGTGTCTTGTCTCTGCTGAGGATGACCGCCAGGGGGCGCGGTTGGGCCGTCCAGGTACCGTGGTGACGTCACCCGGGCTTTAGGTGTCCTTCCCCGGAGCCTCAGATCCGCCAGAGCTGCAGGAGGAGCGGAGCAGCAGCGACGGGACAGAGAGCAGACCATGGACGCGTTTATTTCCTGCGGGTGATGTCGTCTCTGCGCGTGTAGAAGGTGAGAAGGTTTTTATTTTAATGTGCGTGAAGAGGAACAGCTGCAAGTGTCTCCAAGCTGCGGAAACTGCAGTTGTATTTTATTTCACCGTGTCTGCTTCACTCGCTCCGTGTGGAAGTTCTTGCACAAATTAATTGCTGCATGAAAAAAAAACCTGCAAGTCAAAGTGGATGTGCAGGTTCAGGGGTAAGGAGAAAAACTCAGGGGTCTTGTTCCCTAAAGAATAAATTCATGAAGTGATAAAAGCATCAATTCAGAAGCATGTTCGTGTTTTTTTATCTCGATGCTCCTCTAAGCTGCTGTGTGACAGTGATGTGCACGCTCGTGTGTAAACGTGCACGGGCTGTGTGCTTGATGGATATCAGGATGTCAACAACAACTGGATTAGTGTTGCTTTGCTGCAGCAGTTTGCAGAGTGGACCAGTAAATACACAGACCCCACTACGATCCATCCACTGCACTGAAATCAATCCACCCCCTCCAGGTTCCACAGACCAAAGAGGATTATCCTGAGCAAATAAGACTCTAGATAACCTCAGATTCCCAATTAACTGTTGTTTGGATCTGTAATGTGGCACCGAAAACCCCCGAGAGGTTTGTTGTTCTCGATCATCACAAGTGCAGGACGGTGAAGTATTAAATCTCAGCAGGAAGTGCTGATAGGATGAAGATTTCATCAAGCTCTTCTGCTGATAATCCTCACTATCTGCTGTGTGTCTCCTCTGTGTGAAGTAGCACTTGGGTTGTAAGCAAACAGTCCTGAAGCCACCATTGTCTTCTCATTAAATGTTAACTCGATCTTTGTGTGTGTTTTGATAAGGTCCCTGCACCATCTTATCCCGTCTGCCTCCGAGGACGAGGGAGCAAATGCCAATCCCCTGAGAAACGGATAACACCAGGAATCTGTCACCTCACCTCACTTGAGTAGGTGTGAATTGCTGGCTGGAACCATGGGCAACCAGCTGACTGATATCGCCCCCAACACGTCGTTCCTGCCAAACTTCCAGACGCTGCACGTGGTGGTGATCGGCCTCGACTCGGCCGGCAAGACCTCCCTCCTCTACAGGCTCAAGCTGAAGGAGTTTGTGAAAACCATCCCCACCAAGGGCTTCAACACGGAGAAGATCAAGGTGGCGGTGGGGGTGTCACGAGCCATCAACTTCCAGGTGTGGGATGTGGGCGGGCAGGAGAAGCTGCGCCCGCTCTGGAAGTCTTACACCCGGCGAACGGACGGGATCGTATTCGTGGTGGACTCCACTGAGCAGGAGCGCATGGAGGAGGCCAAAGTGGAGCTCCACAAGATCACCCGCACCTCGGAGAACCAGGGGGTCCCCGTGCTCATTCTTGCCAACAAGCAGGACCTGGATTCTGCCTTGTGCATCAGCGAGGTGGAGAAGCTGCTCTCCGTCCACGAACTGAGCATGTACACGCTGCATCACGTGCAGAGCTGCAGCGCCGTCAACGGTCACGGACTCCAAACGGGCCTGGAGAAACTGTACGAGATGATCCTGAAGAGGAAGAAGACGGTGAAGCACAACAGGAACAGGAAGAGATGAACTCTGGGCTCACACCGTGGACACTACATGGAGAGATTTATCCTCTACTGGGACACTTCCAAGCCTAATGGTCCCTTTTAATGGGCGAGCGATTAGTGCCAACAAAAAAACAATCACACACGACCTGAGGGTCAAGAGAAATGGATTCGCTCATAATAATTGAAGCAGTATCGACTTATTCTTTGTTCTGCAACTGTGCAGCTGTCCTCCGAAAAGGTTAAGATGCAGTTAAGAGCATTTCTTCACTTGTTTTAAAGATTTCTAACAACCTGTGAAGTTTAAGGAAGTAATATATGAACACGTTAAAATCCATGTCACATGTTAAGAAAAGTCGAGGATGAAGTTTTAAAATGTCTTTCACAGATTGCACCTCACAGACCAGCGTGTTCCACAATGTACGGATGCTTCCCAGAATATTTATGCCACATCTTTGTGTTTGTGCTGGACAGAGGGACTTTTGTGATGGAGCACCAAATGATATTATATTGAATTAATCCTAAGTGCTTTCCCTTCATGGCCGCAGAGGTTAAGTTTCATTTATTATAACAGTAGTATTTATACAAATTGTACAAGACTTAATAAATCGAAACACTGCACAGAACGTCCGTTGTTATCTTTCTATCTTGAATTAATTGAATTCGGGCCAAAGAAATTCTTAATATATTGTTATTGCTCAAATGATATGATTTGTTTCTGGAGTAAAGTTTGGGTTAACGAATTCTTATATCAACAAAGGTTCAGTTTATTCGTTTTCACAGTAAAGTCTCACCACACCGATAAGGGCCCCCAAGTGTCCAACAAACAAGTTACTGCAGGTTTTAAAATGTGTCTTATCATAATTAGACATTCATTAGAATTTAACCTGACCTCCATCCACATTTTGAAGTCCTGAGTTGTGACCCTTTCCCCCCATTCATGGCTGAATCCACAAACAAGGCTGTCAAAAGGGTGGGGGGTGGGGTGTTGGTGGTCTCCTCCTCTTTTACTGCCCCTCCCCCCGACACACACGCCAAAACAATCCATTTACTTTGATTCCGGCCCCCTTTGCCCGCCAGCTGCTGACGCGGTAATTGCATCAATTATTGGCGAGGTGGTTCAGAGGTTAGGTGGTTCAGTCGTGTTGTGCGATCAAATCTGACAGAGCCACACGAGGCCGCCGTCAGCCGAAGATGCTCAGAACCTCTGGTTTGGGTTCAGACCACCTCATGTCCGTCAGTGACTCCACTTCTGACAGTAAGGACTCCTGAAACTTTGAGTAACGTCAATGAGTGTGTATGTATATGTGACACAACACACAACCTCCTGGTGTCTCGCTGACTGCGATGTCGGACTCGAGCATTAGCGTGTCCATCCGGGTGTCAGGTTTATCTCACTGAGGACAAAAGCCCAACCCTGCAGTTAACTGAACTCAGAGAATTAGTATTGTTTTGTTCTCTGAATATTCCTCTGGGGTAAAGTTTGGGCTGATTGTGTTCAGATAGTTTTGGCTCTAACATTGTTTTTTTTTCTGTATAAGATGAACTTAGTGACCAGCTGGTGAAGACAGTGAAACGTGTGCAGTTAAAGAGCAAGATGTTTTATTCTGGAGGAGTTTGAGACCAAAAACGCAGCTAAAAGACTGAATATTACACGTTAGAATCATATTGTTGCTCAGTATCTGACGTGTTCACTGACCAAGTGATAGCAGGTGCCTCCGGCTGAATGTCACGACAGACATAAATGCCGGCAAATGTAAAATAGCAAGCGACCTGCACACCGACACACACAGGCAAGTGCACACCAGCACGGACATCCTGACTCCTGCGACCTCTCTGTCCCCATTATTCAGCACGATGAGCTCATTAAAAACTTTCAAGGATATCTTTCGCAGAATCATCTTGACACAGCAGCTGGTCCCTGAATAAATTAGCATCACGATTTGGTGGTTTCAGCAGCTGAGACACACTGTGGGCATGTGGACGTTTCAATCAGCCAAGGAAAAAACACCTCAACATTCTGCCGCTGCGATTCTCTACCCAGAATAAAAAAGGTGTAAGAGACGACGTGCTGCAGCCGAGGAAACGTGCTGCTGTACCTGCAGCGTTCTGCACATTTGATCGACTTGGAGCCGAGATTCCATCCACCGAGGGAAAACTGCAGGGAGCTGGATGTACATTTTGAGCACCCTCTCTTGTTTGTCACACATTGCACATACTTGCTTCCTGTTTTTCAGGCTGTAACGGTGCCTGACAAGCAACACACAAGGGAGGGAAACCTCAGGGATTATGTGTCAGGGCTTAGAGCAGAATCGTACACAGACAGGTGCTTCCCTGAAATCTTGTGACATAAATCAGAGACAGGTTCACCTCTGGGTTTGAAAAACACAGATTTCCATCAAAGTCAATCAAAGGACACAAACAAAACCAACGTCTCTTCCTGTTCTTGTCAAAAAGACAATTCAAAGAAGCACAAATTGAAAAAGTTACAATAAATAAGACTAATGCCCAAACAACTCCTTGACTCATCCTGTAAAATCGTGTACAAATTATTAATGAGATGCTCACTTCGATTTCTCTGCTACTATTTTTTCCCTAGATAGTAAAAAGTATCCTGGTCAGACCGTCGGCTCAGTGTGCAAACACAGCAAACTGCGGAGGAACCGAGTGCACTACTGCAGAGAGCATTACTCTCCCTCAGGGAACTTCTCTGTAGTATTTCAACAGTCTCACTGCAAACGTCTGAATACAGAGGACATGCTGCTATCAATCCATCATATCTGTGCTCCGTGCTGAGCTCGGCAGAACCATCCAGAAGATGTCGAGACAGTTCACAAACAAATATCAATCTTGTGGTGA